TGTCACCTATACACATACAGGTCCAAAGGCCACAAAAGGTTAACCTCCATACACTCAGGTCGAGGGGGAGCACTTTGCGCTCTAGAACCCGACCACTTGGTCGCAAAGACTCTGGGGCCGTTAGAGATGGAAACGTGCTTGCGGCTCGCGCTTTGGTGTTGTGCATCTTGGCGGCGGCCAAGGGATGCTTCTGGTTGCTGGAGCAACCAGCGAGCTCCATCATGGAGCTTCACCCATTGTTTCAAGCTGCCATAAGACTCTTGGGTACGCACCGCTTGTGCATTGCTATGGGGCGATATGGTGCACCGACGCCGAAGCGGACCATTCTCTACAGCAGTCCCTGTTCTGTGTTTCAACCAAGGTTTTGCCTTTTCAAATTTACATATTTCCAACACTGGCCTCCAAAACTATCTATCTATCTATCTATCTATCTTGCACGTTTCAACGTGCGCTTCAAGGCCATGCCTGTGTGAGGGATATCCAGGACTACGAGGTCGAGCCGGAGTATGATGATAGTAGGCAGATGGTTGTCAAGTACGTCAACCAAAAGGGAGAATCCCGGATCCACGGTGGAGCTCACTTGAAGTCTTCCCAAGCCTACCCCAAACAGTTTGGAGTGGCGCTGGCAAAGGTGAGAACCAAGTTCGCCAAGCGTCACCGTCGCCAGGCTATGTCTTTCTTACGACAAGCAAGGATGAGCGATCGTGAGTTTGATTGCAGGCCGAGAATCAATCGGGCCTGGATTGCTGGCGCGGACCTTCAACCGGTGCTAGATTTTCTGTCCAAGCAATGAAATTGTTTGGGTCTTTTGGGTGTGCACCGTGGCCTGTCCTGTGGTGCAGATTGCTAAATTTAGTTGCTACTCACGGCCAGGGGCTTTCAAGGCCAAGTTGATTTGAGATAGTGTGGTGAAAAGGTATGAGCGCAAGACTTACAATATGCTCAGTCTACAAACGTATGCATGTTGCAAAACACTCTGAGCCACCCTCTCTCACTCCTTCTCTTCCCAGCTTCCCCACAACCAGACATCCCACCCACTTGCGTCCGGTTGGGTCTGCAAAGGCCCCCTCCCCTCCAGGACGTGCCTCTGCAGAGTTGGATCCTTTCGCATTGTCTGGGGGCCTGTGCCGGTCAAAGAGTTGGTTGGTGTTCTATTGAATCTGAAGCCTTTATTTCAATTGCGAACAAGAACCTTCTCTTCCTATAGAGCCTTGAGTGGCCACCGTTTTGGAACCTTCCTTCACCTCACCTTTCTCACCGGCTACAGGCGGATGCCCCGCCTCTTCCTCAAAAGAAGCCACACAGATGGAGGCGAGCAAGAGTGCCTGCAATAGCAATTGTCATGGATCATCGTGGAAAGACGTCAGAGTTCATGGATTCTCACTAGTGTGAATTGTATGTGGACACAGTTAGAAGCAAGTGACGCATATCAAAACAAAAATACAAATCCTGACCATTTTTTGCTTTGCGTTTTCTCTCGTTTTCACTCGTGTGAATTGCATCGAGAATCGTGTGAAATGGAGCGAAATCATGTGAAATGTAGAACTGACACTGATAGGGCTTGTATTCACTACAAAAAGATTTATGGCTGCTTCCTTTCAGACTCGAAGGCTATAGGCTCAGCTACAGCCCGGTTTCGATTTCTACGAACATGCCGGACCCAAGCCCAAGAACTCCACCACGCAGAAGACATCGAAGCAAGACCCCAGGCAGCGCACAGGTGCCAACAAGGCCATCTGCTTTGAGAAACCCCATGGACCAGAGAGGTCGCGAGAAGGAAAGAAAAAAGGAAGAAGAGAAGCGTGGGAGTAAAAACGTAAACAACAAGACAGACCCAAAGAAGAGAAAGGAGAGCAGCGGCAGCGGGAAGGATGCAAAGGATGAGAATGACGCCAAACAAAGGCGCAAAGAAGGTTAAGGATGATGAGATTGAGCAGGCAGCGAAGGACAAGAAGGAGGCTCAAGATATGAAGGGCAAGGAAAAGGGCACCGACAAAGAGAAGAAGGACAAGGACAAGAAGGCGATGAAGCAGAAGGAGGCGAAGAAGGAGATGGAAGCAAAGATGGACAAGGAGAAACCAACCAATGAAGCGAAGAAGTGCAAGGGAGAGGTGAGTAGGGAAAAGAATGTAAAGGAGGTAAAGGAGGTGAAGAAGCACGCAGAGAGGAATAAGGACAAGGAAGTGAAGACGGACAAGGAGGCAAGGGTTGAGAAGGAGGTGAAAGTCAAGAAGGAGGTGAAGGTTGACAAAGAGACAAAGGATGACAAGGAGAAGGTGACAAAGAAGGGTGCTGACCAAAGGAAGATTGACAAGAAGGAAAAGCGCAAGAAGGCGAAGAAGGAGAAACGTCAGAAGGTCAAGAATGACAAGATGGACAAGAAGAAGGGCAAACGAGGGACCAAAAAAGAACGCCGCATAAAGTATGTGCCTGTGAAGAAGCATAAAATTGATCACATCTTTGACAAGTCCGAGGCAGAGGGCACTGGGACTCCATCGTCATCACATGCGACTTTATCGTCCAAGGAAAAGGCAGAGCAGAAGCTGAAAGAACTGACAGCGATCATGGCTGCTTCAGATTGTGACAGCGACAGTCTACCTGCCACTGACATGGAAGATTTCCTAGACCAAATGGATGATGGAAAGGACTTGTCAGGAGGTTCAGAAGACGAGAAAGACGAGCAGGAGGAGGAAGATGGGGAAGACAGTGAACCCAGTGAGGGAGGATCATCACCAATGAGCGACGACTCTGATGAAGAAGAAGAAGAAGAGGGGGCGAGGAAAGCGAAGAAGAGACAGGTGATGAGGAGGAGGAAAGTATGGAGGAAGAAGGAAGTGGCTCTGAAGAGACTGAAGGAGATGATGATGATGAGAAAGAGAAAGAGGAGGAGGAGGAGAAGAAGAAGGGCGAGGCGGGTGAGAAGGGGGCTGAATGTCACGCCTTGGTTCCAGTCATAGAGGCATCGCGACTGCAGGTTGCAAACATTCGCAACAGTGTGACCAACAAAAAGGAGTGGGATGTCTTCAGCAGGCAGGCAAAGACCAAGATGCCAGTCGAGCTGAACGATGCATACCAGCAGAACAAAAATGACCTGTTCAATATGTGGTTGGACAATGGTGCCAACGAACAGAGCTGGTCGCACTGTGTGCTGGAGGTGAAGCGGAAGCAAAAGGAAACCAACGAAGCCAAGAAGGGCTGGCAAGCGATCCAAGGGAAAGTGCTGAAGCAGCGCTATAGCGAGGAGAAGTGGGAGAAGGTAAAGAAGAAGCGGTTGGAGTCTGGCATGTTCTACCTCGATGATGATTTCCCAGACGACGAAGATGAAGCCCGGAAGCATAAAAACAAACCATGTCATTTTTGGCTATCCTGATAGCCTTCCAACTCAACCCATGAGCAACCCAACCCATGAGTATATTCCAGTCCCAACGCATATGGGTGTTCTGACAGCTTTCCATGTTCCAGTCTGTTGCTGGGTCATTGTTCTAAGGAAACATGGTATTTCGTGAAGGAGGGCCAGTCTATGACCAACAGAGTGGAGACTTCTGAAGAGCTTAAGCTGGCAGCCCAAAAAAACATGGACAGTGAGATGTTGGCAGCTGTCACCGATGCAAACTCTGGCCTGATGCGCGTTGGAGCTTTGCCCAAAGTCTCCACCGCCAGCGCTGCGGGCAACAAGGCACTCCTTGAAGGCATCGCTGAAAAGGCAGGGGTCGTCTCACCCTTCCCAAAGCCATCTTATTTAGGGAAGTCACGGCCAATGTATGATGTACTAGCGGAGCCCAGGAGATCTAAAATGCAAAATCTGGGGGTGCCCTTTTATTGTCGTTTTGGAATGCTTATGGGATACAAAAAGGGCACCCCTATTGCAATGGATTACATTTTGGTTTGTTGACCAACGTTGGCAACTTCTTCACCGGTACCGTCGAGTTCTTACCTTGTTCAGGTGGCTACAGCTCCAAAGAGAAAACCAAAAAAAGAGGAGGAGGCTGTTGAGGTTGCCCCCCAGACATGGTGCTCTAAAGCTGCTGCCACTTTGCCCGAGCTTCTGAAGACTGCTGCTGAGGCGAGGACTTCCTCAATCAAGCTCAGTGGATTGGAGTTCGCCGATGATTTGGCATCAAACCTCCTGAAGCAAGCTGAGGGATTGGAGGCGGACTACACCGTTCTTTCCAAGACGGTCAAGGAGGCGTTGACCGGTGTCACTGAGCGGATGGCCGCCCTTGAGAAAGCACAGGTGGCAGCCAGTGCCTTTTTGAAAAAGCCTAAGCCAAAGAAACAGCCAAAGGCCAAAAAGAAGGCCGGCAAGGACAAGAAATGATCCTTGCGTTCATCTTTTGAAAGTGAGAGGAGGGGTCTCTCACAAGTTTCGATCGCTTGCAAGTGCCGAACACTTGCGTGGGTTTCTGTGGCCCCATAGTCAACAATGCTCTGTTCAGGGGGCTGCTGCCAACCTAGTCATGATGCCGAGAAAAAGAGTTTGCCGCGCAGTCTCCTGCTCATTTCACTCTGGTATCTACTTTAAAAATAGCACAGGTGTTAAAACACAAAAGGAGTAGTATCAAACAAGATCTATCGGCTTTGGAAACAAACATCCACAGGCCTTCTTCTCTTCTCCTGGATTGAGTTTTTACTACCTCATGGCCCGCCCACGCCCAACAGGCTTGGGCTCCTCCTTCGTCCAGCATTCAAGGACAGCCTGCGCATAGAGGTAGCGAGAGTCTTGAAAGGGAAGCTACACAATGGAAACGATTACCAATGTTGCTCTCACTATCTGCTAGGGGTTGAAAAGACCTAGCAAATGGAAGACCTGCTCTCACTAGGAAACGCCAGCGTCTTGAAGACCTAGCAGAGTGTGCGACTGTGAACAAACTGATCGATTTGATCGGGCGTGGCAAGATAACCATTGAAGCAGCTGCTGAAGTATCTAGAAATGTGGACACTTGGCCAATGTAACATCTTGCTATAGTTTGTTTTCTGAACATGAGTGGCCTGTCAACTAGAAGTCGGACTTCAACCGTCCATGAAGTGTTGATCAGGTGACTGACCACGACCTCCCTCACGAAGCCATCGAGGCCTTCTCGACCCTCGGTGCCAGTGGTGCCCATCCTGCCAACACGGAGAGGGACCTTCACAGGTGGTTGAAGGGCCTTTGGGGATTCTCACTCCAAACCTATGTTGTTAACATGGATTTGGAAGTGGCTTCGTCTGTACAACTTGAATGTTCAATGACTTGATTTGATGTTTTTTTGTCTCGGCCCCAAAATTCTGTGGGAACAGAAAAATCTCAGGTAGATGGATGGAAAACAAAACCGCGAAGCACACCAGTTCACGTGCTACTCCCGCACGAAGTGGTGCACTGCTTCGCTTCTGCTGGAGGCCTAGCCTTTGAGAGCCTTCTACTGGGAAACCTTCCCGATGAAGCTCGAGTTGAGTTTTGGGATCATTGTGAACGTTTGGAACCCTGGAAAGAACACCCAATCTTCAGGTCTGCTGCACCTAAAAGCAGGCTGATACCTTGCAATGTACATGCTGATGGTGCTCAGTTCTACCGAGAGGATGAATATTTCGTCTGGTCTTGGTCATCGGTATGGGGTGGACAGGGGATGGTGAAAGACGTGCTGTTGTACAAATGGCCTATTGCTGTCATTCCAGAACGGCACATGAGGAGCCCAGAAGTTCTTTGCCTTTCATTCGCAACGCTGTATGGGATATGTCGTATATAGTTATTTTGTAAATCCTTGTGAGGTTTTCCGCCCCGGCTCTGATCGCCCAGGTCCGGGCGGCTGTCAATGAAACAGTGGCAGCTTTGACAGCCTGGTCCATCGGCGTCGCATCCGAAGGTGTGGGGCCTGAGATGGGCTTCATGGGTGAGAGCTTGGCAGGCACTGACAGAGAAGGTCTTATTGGGCAACCGCTTGCTTTCGGGTGGAGGACACTGTGCTTGAAGAACGCAGGCTTTTCATCTTTTTCTGTTCAACTTACTATTTACTATAGTTCAGGTTTCGCTGGGGACAAACCTGACATGTCATGTTCTTAGATCTGTCCAGGGCCTGCTATTTCGCCTTCAAAGGCGATTTGAAGGCTAGGCACGAGGTCCATTGCCTACGACGCTACTACCAGTGCAACCGGCTTTTGGACCTTTATAGTAGATTTTGTTGTTAGTTTCAGAGTTTTACACTCCTGTCAAACACCATGGGTTGCAGGCAAACAATCACGTTGCGCTGAAAACGCGCCAATCCTATCCGAATGCCACCCCAGGTTTTGCGACAGGTGCCTGGCGTTGCAAGGCTCCAAGTGCCCGACATCCATGGATTTTCGGAACATTTCCGATGATGCTGCCTGGCCATTGACGTGTATTGACCATTCAACATACTTGCACCTGGACCAGGAGTGTCTGACACCGTGGCTTAAAGTGCCTGGATTCAATTTCCTCTCAATCACTTATGACTATATGCACAATTTCTATCTTGGCACGGCCAGGGACTTGGTTGGATCTGCAATCAAAGTTTTTGTAGACCATGGACTTGTTGGGGACCCTGGGACAAAGTCTATGGATGAGATGTTATGCTTGGTGCATCGGCGGATGCGATCGGTATGTCGAGAGAATGGGTGCCCTGATTCAAGCGCACACTTTTTAGTTTTCTCCCAAACAACACGTTCTATTCTTGCGCCAATAGTTACTCTTTAAAGAACCATGCCAAACATGCAGGGTGCCTTTACCTTGCAAGCCCAATTTGACAATGGCGAACATCGGTGGTGAAGATGGTTACTTCAGTATGGGGACAAGGTTCAAGGCTGCCCACATCAAGACTATGGTCTGGTGGGTAGCAAAAGAATCAGAACGACTTGCGGCTCCCAGCAATGACCCTAACATGTCCACAAAGAACTTTTCCTATTTTTGTGAGAGGGTCCAATGAAAGGCAACAAAAACCTGTGCCTGCCCTTGCTTGCCATGCCCAGGAACCACTTCTAAATGTCTTGGCGGTGTGCGCCTACGGACTCCAAAGGTGCACTGAAGTGATGGACCTGGCAAGCGTTGTGCTCACAAAGGAAGAGGCTGAAGAAGCCTCTGAATCTCTTCACCTGCACCTCCGATGCTACTTTTGGCTAGCGTCCTACTTTTACTTGAGGACCCCCGGTCAAAAGCAAACCAGCTTCATATAGTTTGATTAAGGGTGATGTAAAATGTAAACTACCTTTGTGTGCTTTGTAGCTATGCGTTCTTTTGCAGGAGAAAGATGTTGTTCAAAGTGCGCTGCAAGACGCATTACAATTTCCACATCGCGCAGGATATAAAGAACTACCAGTTAAACGCTGCTCTCTTTCACACATTTCAGGAAGAGTCCTTTTTGGGCAAACTGAAGTGCATAGCAGTTCGGTGTCACGGCAAGACATGCACAAAACGCTTGTTTCAGCGGTACCTTTTGTGCTTAGCAGTCTTCCTTGAAGACTTGGGTAGAACAACTCGCAAAGTGGGTTGAGAGAACATGTGCTGTCATGTGCACTTGGTTGAGTTCAAAAAAGCTTAGTTCCACAAAGCGAGTTGTGTTGGGAACTGGGGGCCGGCTTCTGAACTTGGATGGAGCCACCGGAGAAAAGATTTGCTGGCCTGCAGTTCGCCTTCATCCATGCACATGGCGCAGCCACACGTAGGCGCAGGAAACTTAGCAAATAAATTCTATGGTTTGTTTTGAGGGGTATGGCCAAATTATGGACACATGTGTTGACATCGGGAGCGGTGAGCACATGCCTAAAGATTGTTGGCGTCCTGGGTTCCCTGGATTGCTTCCAATGGTTTCAAGGATTGAGCCAGAACCCTCGCAAACCAACTGCGGCGGTCTTCCTCCATCTCTGTCCCTTCTCTCTCTCTCTCTGTTTTTGCGCTCCGTTTGCGCTTTTTACGCAAAGAAAATGCAAGTAAGTAAACACGTGCCATGACATGCTACACCAAGAAAGCACGCAGCCTATAAATATGGTTTCCCAACTATTTCTATATTAAATGATTCTTCCGAGTTACAAAAGGAGTTGTCAGCGTGCATGTGTGTGTGTGATCCTATGCGCTCAACAAGGAAGAGTGCAGAGGCAGAATGGTAGTCATGACGAGGTGTGCCCACAAATATGGTAGCGGAGGGCCTACCCAAAACCAGTCGCAAAGCCAGCGGTGGTTCACACCATGGTCGTTTACACCGTGGTCGTTTACACCGTGGTCGTTTATGCTGCATGAAAAATATGGATTGACGCTTTGTCCTTAAGGACAAAGCGTCAAGGACAAGCGTCAATCCATGGAAGAGAAATGCAACTGAGCAGTGGCAACTGAGCAGTGGGAGAAGTTCAGTGCCTCATATCCAAACGACATGCGTGAAATGTAAACGACAGCGTTTTTCCAAACACTTGTCGTTTGTAGCAAAAGCTGTCCTTTGTACAACGTTGGATTCTCTAGGCAGGACCATCTTCTGGCTGACCTCCCATCACTACATGGCAAGACTCTGGTGTGCGACTGCCCACACAACGTGCTATGTCATGGGGATATCATTCGAGCTTTGGTTTGGACTGCTTCACGTCCTACTTCGACCTCAGGTCATGCCCATCCCACCAGGGAGCAGTTGCGACGGGTCTCACTCATTGCTGCCGGCATTCGCCCCGCCAGGGCAGTCCCGCTCCTTTTCTCTCAGGAAATTGTGGTGGCCAGCCTCATGGCCCTTTGTCCAGATGTCAGTTGGGAGGGATTCCAGTGGCCCATGCTCGAAGACCTGCTAGTGGATGACTCGCACTACCAATGGCTCAACTACATGCAGAACCGCCCAGACTGGGACGGACACGCCTTTGGTCCACGGTTGGTGGGCCCATTGGAGCGCAATGCCATTGCTATGAGTGGCCTTCAGCAGCCCGGAGCGGCTGCTGCTGCTAAAGCCTTACCACCTATGATCCCCTTTGGCGTAGGGGAGGAGCGACATTTTGAACTCGCCCTTGAACTGCAGCAGAGACCTACCCCATTTGAAACCATGGGTGTTGTCGATGATGACTTGATCTTTGCAGCATCTGGCTATGCAGCCCAGGGAGTGGGCCTGCGTGAGGTGAGTACAGGCCGTTGGCTCCAAGAACTGAGTCGTCGAATGTGGCCTATCACCTACCACCTCCAAACTTATCAGCCACTCAAGGTCGCCGCATCGCCCTGATTGGGCTTGTCATGCTGATTACCGGATGGCCAGACACTACGTTCGTGGC